GTGGAGGAGGTGATGGGTTTTGTGGAAGAGGTGATGGGTTTTGTGGAGGAGGTGATGGGTTTTGTGGAGGAGGTTATATGGAAGAGGTGATGAGTTCACTACAACACACTGCACAAACCATGCCACCATGGGATACCCCAGTATGAAATTCCTACATGAATTTGTCCTAAGAGAGGGAAAAAAAGGAGGGCAGCAAAGCGGTTGCAGTGGGCCATGAATGGGGGTGGCCATGTCTTCCTTGCTCTAATGTTTCTCTTCTTTCTCACTCAAGCTACACTTCTGATGAAGCAAGCCTGGCCACAGACCTCCTCCTCCTGTGCCACAGAGGGCACCTTCCACCTCCCAGTGGACACTGGGACCGAGAACAGAACCTATCAGGCTTCTTCTGCAGCATTCAGTAAATAAACCTTTTCTTCTGGGGTTTTTCTCAGTCGTTTTGTGCTGGAGGGTTTAGTTCTGATGTTCAGTGACCCTCTGCGAGGCTGCAGAGCATCTCACGTGGGTGAAATATCCATCCCAGCGTGTCTGCTCTCCTATCAACACGAGGTTTGGGTGTCGGGAAGTCTTTCTTTTGGAAAAGGGGTGTCCCTGTCATTCTGTGTAGCAGGGGCTGTAACCCCAACATGGGAAGTGGGCTCTGCATCCTAATTTCAGCGGCCCAAATGGTGAGGCTTTTTAAAATGTTGGAGTGTAACTGGTAGAAGCTGAGCTGTCACTCAGCAGTTTTCCCTTGCAGTTCAGCACATGCCTGGATGTGATTTTCCTCCCTGTTGTGCTGCTGCAGTTGAGATTCCTCCCTTAAAATCAAGGGGAACAAGAGCTGAGCTGCAGGTACCGCAGTAGGAAAGGATTTGGGGGAAAAGAGTGGGATGAAGAAGGTGGTGAGGAGCCTTGGTGGTAATGATGGAAGCAAAGGGGTGAGGACAGGAATGGGGAAATGGGAAATGGGGTCCTACAGCCCCTCTTGGCCCTACAGCCCTCATGGTCCTGCAGCTCCTCATGGCCCTACAGCCCCTCATGGCCCTACAGCTCCTCATGGCCCTACAGCCCCTCATGACCCTACATCTCCTCATGGCCCTACAGCCCCTCATGAGCCTACAGCCCCTCATGGCCCTACAGCCCCTCATGGCCCTATAGCCCCTCATGGCCCTACAGCCTTCATGGCCCTAAAAGCCCTCATGGCCCTATAGCCTTCATGGCCCTAAAAGCCCTCATGGCCCTACAGCCCCTCATGGCCCTACAGCCTTCATGGCCCTAAAAGCCCTCATGGCCCTATAGCCCCTCATGGCCCTACAGCCCCTCATGGCCCTATAGCCCCTCATGGCCCTATAGCCCCTCGTGGCTCTACAGCCCCTTTTGGCCCTACAGCCCCTCATGACCCTACAGCCTTTCATGGCCTTCCAGCTCCTCTGTTTCTGTTACATGGGAGCTGATCCCTCCCCCCACCACAACCTCCTTTCAGGAGTTGTAGGGCTATAAGGTCTCCCCTGAGCTCCACACTGACCCATCCCAGTTCTCTCAGCCATTCCCACAGCGCTGTGCTCCAGACCTTAAGAGCTTTCCATGGGCATCATCAGCAAAGCATCACATTCCTGCAGTCATGCTCCTAGGGTGAATGGTGCAGAACTCAGCACAGAGCTTTCATCCTCACCTCCCCTCATTCCCCATCACCCTTAGGATAAAAATTTGTGCAATTCAGTGCAATTTTGCACTGTAGGATCCGTGGGGTTGAGATTTCTGGGGTGGTGTGAGGCATTTAATCAGCAATTTTAATAGGAGCTGGAGCTCCTACGCTTGCTATTGCTTTTTATTAAAATCCCAGCCCTCTGTGGAACCACAGCATGGGCTGGGTGAACTCCTAATCCTCCTAAGGTTGTCATAATCAGGCTTTAAAATTAGCTGTCAGACATGCATGTCTGAGAGGAGCACAAATCATTATGTGACATTAAAACTTGGCTATGAGCTGCTTTTCCCTGCAAGCCAGTGTGGATTGCTCGCTTTTTTCCCCATTGTTTTATAAAGAATGAGGATTGCACCTGCCTGGGCTGTTGTGTTTAACACCTTTTTTAATGTAGCAATTAAATTGTCATTGAGCAGTGGGGAAACTGCAGCAAGGTCCATTCTGCATTCGGAGTGGGCTGAGGGTTGGGCTTGTGGCCCTGCAGCTCCTCATGGTCCTACAGCTCCTTGTGGTGGCCTTACAGCTCCTTGTGATGGCTCTACAACTCCTCATGGCCCTGCAAATCCTCATGGCCCAACATTTCCTCATGTCTCTACAGTCCCTCATGACCCTACAACTCCTCATGGCCTTACAGCTCCTCAAGGTCCTACAGCTCCTCATAGTGGCCCTATGGCTCCTCATGGCCCCACATCTGCTCACGGTGGCTCTGCAGCTCCTTGTGATGGCCTCACAGCCCCTCATGGCCCTACAGCTCCACATGGTGTTCCTACAGCTCCTCATGGCCCTAGTGCTCCTCATGGTGTCCCTACAGCCCCTCATGGCTTTAGAGCTCCTCATGGCCCTGTACCTCCTCATGGTGGCCCTACAGCTCCTCATCACTGTACAGCTCCTTGCTGCCCTACAGCTCTTCATGTTGGTCCTACAACAGGATGGAGTTCTCCCCATAGACCCTCCAGCACACAGAAGCTCCAGCACAGGGTTCCCCCTCTCTATTCCATTCCGTTCTGCACTCTGCTATGAGTCTCAGGAAGGGAATCAGACCCTTTCTGTTTAATTAACACTTTTATTCCAAATCTGCAGCACTCAGAAGGCCGCAAGATGCTGTTTGCAGTCCCTGGAAAACTCCTTGTTATCTTCACACTGAGTATTAGCAAACTTGAAATCTTGTCCTTCATTAATTGCTGTGTTGAGTGCTAATGGGTTCATTATGTCTGAGTGTCGGGGTGTGTTACCACTCTGCTGAGCCTTGAATTTCTCCTCTCCATCCTGCTCAGTGTTCGGGACCCATGGGCCCCATCTGCCCTCAAAGATGATTTAAAACACAGCTTTAAGAATTCTTGAGGATTTTCCCCCAATTTACCGCTGGAGCATCACAGAATCATAGAATCACCAAGTTGGAAAAGACCTACAAGATCATCCAGTCCAACCATCCACCTACCACCAGTATTTCACACTAAACCATGTTATTCAGTGTTGTCCCACCAGTGGGGTCTGTTCCTTGTATGGCATCAACAGAGTGAGTTCCTTCTTGTCCTTCACTGCAAGAGTGACCTCAAAACCACTGAGACTTCAGAAGTAGAATCACAGAATCAGAGTCACTGAGGTTGGAAAAACCTCCAAGAGCCTCAAGTGCGACCCCAACCCAACCCCCATCGAACCCCAACCCAACCCCAACCCAACCCCAACCCATCTCCCAACCCCAACCCAACCCAACCCCAACCCATCACCCAGCCCAACCCCAACCCCATCTCCCAACCCAACCCCAACCCAAACCCAACCCAAACCAACCCAACCCCAACCCAACCCAACCCAACCCAACCCCAACCCATCACCCAGCCCAACCCCAACCCATCTCCCAACCCCAACCCAACCCAACCCCAACCCATCACCCAGCCCAACCCCAACCCCATCTCCCAACCCAACCCCAACCCAAACCCAACCCAAACCAACCCAACCCCAACCCAACCCAACCCAACCCAACCCCAACCCATCACCCAGCCCAACCCCAACCC